TGCAAACAAAGGAAAGGATGTGGTTTTGTGCCTACTTCCTTTATTCACTCTTTACTAAGTCCAGAAACACTTGTTTGCTTGGGGTTTTAAGATAGCTTTCTGGCACTTTCAAGTTCTAGATCTATCAGCAATGCTAAGATTGCTTTTTCTGTGGGTTTGGGTTTTTTGTGGGGTTTTGGGGGTTTTTTTGGTGGGGTTTTTGTGGTTTTGTTTTTGTTTTTTTTTTTTAGGGACCTCTGCTTGGGGAACAGAAATTTGTACAGATGTTGGCATTTGGGAAGTCATAAGTGTGTGACAGGAAATCTTCCCTTCCAGTTGTTTTAGAGGTGTTTGCTAAATAGTCCAAGATATAGTCTTCCTGCCATCCAGCGGAAAAACCTTGTCCCTGTGGTTATTAAGAGTCTAACTTTCTTTGTCATTTTGGATTTCACCAATCCTACTAGGCATCCAATACATGTTTAGAAGTATTCAATTAACAGAGGGAGATAGGGAAAAACCTTATTACTGTAAAAATAAATAGTTGTAAAAGAAGTATTAGATCCATAGAGAGAAAAACAAAATCAATTTTATAGCATAGGAAAAAAAAAAGTGTCTAATGGTTTAGAGCATTTACATTTGCATTTAAGTATCTCTTCATTCCATACATATGGCATTTAAACAGTACATACCAATTTTCCTCTCACAACTGTTCCCATTTAAAAGGTATATATTTTATAAATAGTGCATCAGGACTAAATGCATGCTGAGCTCTGGACACCACAGTACATGCTGTGTAAATTCACTAAAGAAAATAATAATAATTTAAAAAAAGTAGATTTCAACATGGCATTTTTTTTCCTAAAGGGAAAATCTTGTTTTGAGATGTGCAAAGCAGCACATTGCTTAGAACAGACAAGCAGAACAAGATGTTACAACTTTCAAGGCTTTTTAAACTAATCAGAGAAAAACAACTATTGAGGGTCTTTGGGTTTTTATTTTGTTTGTTTTGATCACTTAAATATTTAGTTTGATGTTTTCATAATTTTTTACTGAGTACTATTGGGTGACGACATTGTTTGCAAAAAACTTCAAGGTTAGTTTTTCAATTCTTGAACATTTGGAAAACAGTCAGTTTTTGAATAAAAATGCTTCATTTAAACAAACCACTCACTGAGAACATAAAGAGTCACAGAAACAAATTCAATTCACTATGTCAAGCACTCAATCAGTGCTGGATTTTACTGTTACTTTCCCAAACACTGAGCTCTACTGTGAGTGTGCATTGCCTTTATAAACATAATCAAAAAGGACTTTATCCACAGGGGCCCCTTCTCCTTTCAGTGCACTGATTAGACCAGAGCATTACCCAATCTGAGATGACTTATCAAGACCTGTTATTTTTGAATCACTCCTTTTCACCAGTTTAAAAGGTGGTTAAACATGGTTCACTGAGCTACTCCCCAAATTACCCACTTCCAAATTCAGCACTAAGGCCAACACCCTATGAACACTTCTCATAATGTGTTTCTGTCTACCAGAAGGCAGTAGCTCTGAAGTGCAGTAAACCAGAGTACAACACTGTTACGATGTGCTTCATTTTCATAACAGGCATCGCTTTGGGTGATGGTAACACCTTAGAGTCCTAGCTGTCTCTACATCAGGCTGCCTGCAAAGCTTTAATTCCCCTTTCTGAAATACTTGAGATGATGAAACTTCAAACAGACAAAAAGGAAAAACAAACAAAAAAAGGGAATTAAAATATTTTCTTTCATTTTTCCAATCCTTCACATTGGTGGGAAACCTAACGAGGAGGTGTTCAGCTTCCAGAGAGAGGTTGTGTAACCCAGACCTGCCACTTGTAAGTGAAAACACCGCATTTCTCTTCATCCAGCACAAGTGTGGCTACATCTGCTCATGGTCACAACTGTTCAGTCCATCACCTGCTGAAGCCTTGAAGGTGTGATTTTTTTCACGGAGTATGAAAAGCATGCTCTCTTTACGGCTGCTGTTCTGCAAACCAGGAAATCTAGAGTTAGGGCTGCCCACGTTTGATCAGTAGTGCTGACAAAAGGCACCCACCTTGTCTGTTCAAATGTGTTCAAAACATGCTGACAGGTTAATTTATACTTCTGGGCATTATTGTTGGGCTTCTACAGCCAGCATAGACTCCTGATACATGTGTGTTGACTGCACTCTAGCAGATGTGCAAGTGTGTGTTCACACCTGATTTGGATCAGTGGTGCTCTGCTGGGCGATGGGGCTGTGTACAGACTTGACATGGTTGGTCACAGCCTGCCGCTGCAGTGTGCAGCAGGAAGGGGCAGGGCTGGGATGCTGAACACAGAAACTCTCGCCCTGAGCTAAAGGACACCAGCCCCAAAACCAGCACCACACTCCTTAAAGCCGGTGCTCGCTAATGGTAAAGGAGTGAGCTATGGTGAACTCCCATCCGAGACACCCATGGGAATCTCTGGACCAGGATGAGTGTAGTTCTGTGTCTCACTTGCTGGTTCTCCTGTGACAGCCTCAGTAGTTTAGCCCTGGACCTAACTAGTGTGGACACATCCAACTACCCCTACTCTTGTATAACCCAGATGCTATGTCATTCAAGAATCAGGCATGTTTCCACTCTAGACCTACACACTGGAGGAAGGAAGGAGACACTGAATGAAAAAAGAAGTTGGGAAGCAAGTTATTGCCTGTTACCCCTAGAACAGCCACAATTTATCCTAAAGACAGGCTGGCACCTTCCCTGCCTAAATCTTTGTATTATCTGCTGAATGATGCTTCTACAAGGAAAAGTTGCTCCTACTGAAATTTTCTTTCCACCTGGATTCTATTGAGGTGTGAGGTGTAAGGTGCAACACAAAGACACTTCTGAACAGCTTGTGAAACAGTCACTTTATTGCAAAATAAAGGTAGAAAATTTACATTTCACGTAGTTCAACTCTGAAGGAAATGTACAAACCATGTTTCATTTGTAGAAGGGAAAACATGAGCTACAAACTGAGGGCAAGACTGGCCAACTGGTTGAGGGGTGCTCAGCTTGTAAAATATGAGCGAAGAGTCCTTCAGCATTCATATTATGCTGAGTATGGTTTCAGTTCAATGACCACACAATATGAAACACTTCATTACTTTTACCCGGTATATTGTACGCCTGTAGAGGCTTTTTGTTTACTGGAGGTTTCTGTTATTTAGGCTGTAAAGGATAAACATCTTGTAAACAATGAAGTTGGATTATGGGGTTGATAGATGACAATATTCTGACCTTTCTCCCAAACAGGCTGTTAAAAACAATAGATAAGGGGATAGCTTCTGATAGGCAGAGACCTCATAGCTTCAAAGCTTTGGGAAGTTAAAATTATTTTAATTTAGGACTGTTTCAAAGCAACTTGAATACAGCCACTCCACGGAGGCATCTTTTGATTTGAGCTTTTCACATCATTTGCTTATGTACTTTGGATGCGTTCACTTCAAAATCACAGACCACTTATTATTCCTGATTATTGCATTTAACAATACTATGAATGAGGAGGGCAATGCTTTTTTACACTCCAAGTGCTGTGTAAATACAGGGTTTATTTCACCTCCTTCCACAGCTCATCTTGTTTGATCACCCCTGCAAATCTACATAGCACATTAAAAATCTGACTTGCTCAGATATTAACAAAGTGCTGGGAAAATTCCTATTATCAAATGCCGAGGCTGCAAATGACCACAAAAAGTCCAGTGTTTCCACAAAAAGGAGCAGCCCCAATTTTCCTTATGCTTTTGGAGCAAAGAGGCTTGGCATTTAGAAACACATGGCATCAGTTCTGAGAAAGTTCATGGTAATTTTCTAACATGAAGTACAAAGGAAAAAACTTAATTCTACTGTTTCATTTCATTTTAACATTACATTCTGTGTTTGGGCAAATGGGATTGGTTACTTTAATCAGCACTAAATTATAATTTTCAAAACCCTGAAAAGGTGGCGGGAAGGAAGTAATATCGAGGGATGCTTTCATGCATCTCTGTTTCAAAATGCAAGCATTGCATTGTAAGCACGGTCACAATACCAATTGTGGTTCTGCCATTGCCTCACTAAATGAATTCCAAAGTCCTAATCTCTCTCTCTCTCTCTCTCAACATCCTAATCTTCAAAACTGTAATAATATTTCCTTACTTCAGTAAGTGCTGTAAAGATTATTTAGTAAAATGATTGCTCAGGGTTCAGAAAATACTAAGCATTAGGTATTATAAATTATGTGCTCATTTCTCTTAAGCTGCAGTAAAACCTGATGAAGTCCTTTGTAGGAAAACCTGTGTGCTTCTGTAGTTAATTTTGGATAAGGTTGTCCACCTAAGAGCATTGTATAGTAAAAGAATCACTCATGACTTAACATCTTCTTTTTAAACTATTACTTGTTAGCGCTGCTAAACATGACTGATTATTAAGAAATCCAACTGCATGTTAAGTAGCAGTTCCTATAATTAAAAAAATAATTAGAAGATCTGTAAGAATTACTTACTCTACTTCTTGCTTTTCAAGCTTTGGTTGAGAAAACTTGTACAGAACTCTCCCTGCAGTTACGGACTGTGATACAAACTGGCGACAGAAATTGACTGAGGAAATTATTCTTTCCTACAGCTCCAGCTCAGTAAACACTGAGCAGGGGACCACGTCTCTCCTCATTAAAACAGCATTTAAGTGCGATTAACTTGTAGAATGTGCTCCATTGCCAAAAGCACATGGATAAATGTTGTCTTGGAAAAGGACCATAAATAGACACAATTTGTCAGCATCCCTTAGACGCATTATTTGGATTAACGAAATGCCTCAAACAAACCACACAGAGTTCTGTGTCACTTAGCTAGTGGTGACTGACCTCATGCCACTGACCACTCTAATGGTCAACCCCTCCACATTACGTAATTATTTTATAATATATGCAAAAGTATCTAAAAAGCACCCGCTTCCTTCCCAAGCCCTCATGAGATAAGGCTGATTAGGAGTCATCCTCCATTTTTCATTCAGTGATCTTGTGTAAATACTTTTCTTCATGCTGTCCAGAAAGTGCACGTGTTGTCTTGTGAGAGATTTCTGATTTCATAGATGTTGAATACCCCATCACTTCTGGCTTGCAGCATGAGGCTCTTCCTTGGTCAAAGCAGCTAGTCCTGAGGTGCTTTGTGAAGAAGTCTGTGCATCATATTTCCTAAAACTGTGGTTACGAAAAGATTCCCTGCAATGAAATGGATCCATAAATAAAGTTGGCAAATGAAAAACAATCCAGGAAATACCTGCCTTGTGAAAAAGAGCAGCTGACAAATCATCAGCTGAAACATGTTATGTGTTGGCAGGTCAGAGGCATATTCCTGCTTCCACAACTGACCCCACAATGGACACAGTAGCTTTGTGAAGAAGTGTATATTCATAATTAAAGACGTAATATAAGACTCTCTGTCTCAGTCATGAGACTAAACCGGATTATATTATCTGTGAGTGAAAGGATCACTCTTACTTCATGCTAGCTAACACCACATGGTGCAATGTGTTCAAAACAAACACATACCTGTGTTTGTTTTGAACGTGTTTCTATTTCCTACCTGGCTTCAAATGTTGAAGAAATGGTAAGAGGTTTCCAACATCTTTTCATTAGGTCAAGGAGGAAGTCTTCTCTAACAATGCATTAAAATGACAGAAATCCCCTATCCCAGGAATAAGCAGCTTGAGAAACACAGTTAATACTATATTCAGCTCCACTGGAAGTCAGGAGACTTCTTTAATCAAGTTAGCAATGGCCTGTTTTTAGCTGTCAGTAAAACTGCTTTTCTTCTTTGCAAGAACAGCATCATTTTGTATAGCTACAACAAATAACCTTGCCCTAACTGTACCTTGTGCTATGGACTTTCACTACAGGTTTGTACAGCTCTGGGATCTTCCTCTCAATCATGGGCCTAAGGTTCTCCTTCAGCTTCCCATAGTTCTTTCTGAGCTCCAGCTGATATTCCCGCTGGTCAGCAGTAATAAGGCGCTTGTTTTTCTCCACTGCTTCACCACACCTAGGCAAAAGAAAAGAAAAAAAAGGCATGATATGTATCACCTACCTTTGTTAAACTCATCAATTTTAGGTAATGAGTGTTAGGTAATCTGAATGGTGGAGGAACCAGCTCCTCTGGGCTAGGCAATCCTCTGATAATGTGTCAAGTCCAAGTACACAAACTGAGGTGATAATTTAAAGACACTAGAAATGCATGAGGGAGCTAATAAAAACCAAATATAATGACCGCAGAATATTGAGCTTCCTGCCTACTTACTGTAAACAGATGCAGTGACAACAGTGTAGAGCAATGGCTGTATCTTCTGCATAAGGCTCATTTTTATTTAACTCAAACTTATCCTTCAGCAATTATGCTTTGTTTGGACTAAGGAGATTAATATCTTGCTACCTGAGAATGCTTGCTAAGATTTACAAGTATATCTAAACCAAAGGCCATATGTGTGTACCACTAGTAAGGTGTCTGCTTGACAGAGAGGGTCAAATATTTTCTTATGAAGATCTTCCCACTAAAAATGTCATTTTATTAAAAATAAAATCAAAGCAATAGTCAGAAATTATTTATTTCTGTAAAATGTTAAAAGATAAAACAAATAGAAGATCTTAATTTCTACATGATTAGTTTGAAGTGTTAAAATTTTCTACCATTCGGGATGCAAAGCCTACCAAAACATTGACCATGGAGCAGAGGTTACAAGTCTGGGCCAAGTATCTAAAGCATGAGATGCTGGAATTCATGATGCTAACTTGCATAATTAATTACAAGCTTATATTATCGTTGCACTACTGCGCTTATTGACTTTATTGATGCAATTCAGCATTTCAATTTTGTTTTACTGACCTCATTATAAACTCTTTGAAGCACAGCCTCAGCTTGTTGTGATGGCGATAAAGTTTGGGGTCCGCTGGAATTTCAGCCAAGAACACTTGTGCTACCTCTAGCGGTCCCTTATAGGAATAACACAGGAAAATGTCAAAAACACCTGCTTAGGCTGAAAACAGACCACATGCTTGGTTAAGCTGTTTGTTATTTCATGAGCGGAATTATGAAAGAAAAGAAAACTATGCATAGTCACCGTAACAAGATTTTTTTTCCTGTTTTACCCCCGATTTTTCCTTTAGCAAGTAGTTTTTGCCTATCATATTTTATCCTCTCCTGTTTTTGTTTTTCCTCCAGCCCCACAAAAAGGGGAACAGACAAATTCTACTCAGCAGAGAAGAGTTGGGATAGCTCTACTGCCAAACTTGGTTACATGAAAGAAACACAGCTCCTGTGTGTGGTATTACAAGACCTCCAGGGAGTTAAATAAGCCCAGCACAGGTTTTTCTTTCCAAAGTTTACAACAATGTGTTACTTTAGGCTAGAGGCTTTGGTTGATGAAGAATCTGGAGAAACTGAGAGTATTTAGGCTTTCAGCAAAGAAACTAAGCTCTGTGAAATTGTGCATAATGCCAAGTTTTCTCTCAGCTATGTCTTGATTATTTAATTTTAAATTTTTTAATTGTCTTTTTTGTTAGCTGGCATATTTATGTTATAATTATTGCATCTTGACTTTCTTTTGGGGCATTCAGGTCATGTATTTTCTATGAAACTGTGAGTTTGTAGTGGCCATACAGCAAAATTGTTATTATTAGTCTCATTCCCCCAGGATACATTTGGAGAGAAGAAAATGGCTGAGACTGCTAATGTACCAGAAATGGAAAACCCTTGGATGCACTAACAAGAATTCTGTGAGTTTCTGCACCTGCAACCAAGACAGCACTTTCATGAGCACTTTCACCAAATGCATACCTAATGAACAGTATACAATGACTAAATATCAAGGGATGAAGTTTAATTGCACATCATGACTAGATGTGTCTGACTAGATGTACTCCTTCCAGTGCAAGAGATGAGAGTGAAAAAGAATGCACAATGAGAAAAGTATGCAGAAACTCTTCACCTGGCTTATTTGGATCCCTTACCTGATTTACAGTGGCTCCAACTGAGCCCTGCAAAACCATCTGGAGCATTTTGGCATCTGGTGGTTCTTGGTTGGTGGCTGCAGTTAGTTCCTGTGTTTTTTTCCGCATATCTTCAATAGCAACTTCAATTGGGGTTAAAATAAACTAATGGAAATGGAAGAGAAGATGCTTCATTACCTGAATCATGCATGCAGTTGACCTGTTCTAAATCTGGCAATACCACTATCATTCCTCCATGCTAAAAGCAGTAGTTGTGAAACCTAGGAAGACTGTTCAATCTAGATGTCATCTTGGTACATGCTGCATTTGATCCAAAGCTCTTTGACATCTTACCATTTGCAAGAATAGGACGTGGATCTGACTCCCTGTTTGCATAAATTCATTATTATTCTAAGTTACTGACTTCATGTCTGAAATGATTTTGCATTTTCTACCTTTATAAAGCTTCCCTGTCTTTAAACAAACTCTGAGCCCAATTTAGTTCTTTGATTGTACTTATCAGCTAGAAGTACAGCCATAAATAGAGCTCCACACATCCTCATACACAGCATTACAATCAGGAGGTCAAAATAAGAATATGCACTAGCCATCCTCTCTTCTTCAGAGTAAACACCCATCTTGCATCTTTCTGCCCATTCTATGCCATTCCTGAGAGTAATATGTGTGAGAAATTCAGCCTCCTTTTTTCTGCCAAGCATAGAATTTGAAAATTGTCACACCCAGGGACTCCTTCAGCCCCATAGAAATTAGGTCTGCCCTCAAAACATAATTACCTCTTCTTTTTGGATGACATTGATTTGGAAAAGCATGCATTGTGGTTAGGATGGTGTTCCTCTTGTATTGCTCGCTAAGCTCTCCTCTGGGTCGCCCATCCATGGTAAAAGGCGTAGTGTACATGAACCGACAGAGGTTGAAGTTCTTCTCAAAATAGGTGACCCTGTCTTTCATCTCATACTCATCAAAATATGGCTCCACAAAAGTAATTTGTATATATGCCTGAGAAAAGAGGGAAGAACTATTACAGTACTTTACAACCCAACAAGTGTAAAAGGAATGGCATACGTGAAATATCCCATAGTTCACATTGTCTAAACATGGTCTGGAAGAACACAGAGCTGCAAATCCTTCAGGGCTCCTTCTCCAGAGCTGATAAAACTTGCCTCTGGGGAGGGCTCAGCTTAACCTTGAGCGGGGATCAGAGCCAGAGCAGGGATCAGAGATCAGAACTTCTAATTTCCACATTCTGTGACAAGCTATCAAACTAAGCCTTTCACAGAGGCCTTAAGGACATCACTGAGCACAGAAATACAGCCAAGTTGGGGGTTTTTTGGTGCCTTAATGTTTGAGCATAAAAGTTTCCAGGGTATCCCCCTCTCTTCCTTTCTCTTCTGTGACAAAACACTCACTCTCAGTAGTACTTTCCC